GTTTGATGAATACCAATGAATAAGCAGAGCTGCTTTTTTAAATTCCAACATTTTCTATCTTTAAGTTTTAGTCTGGGAAGTTATAATCAATTCTTCAACTCAAGTAAGTTAAGGAGGCTCTAGTTTAGAGAATATGCTACCAAAAAACATATACCAGAGTGCATTTCAATAGTTTCAACTCTAATCACATGTGAGCAGTGTGCAGTCTCGTTTTGCACACCAAAATGACAATTACGACAATCTGCTTTTCTCTACTTACTTTCTTTCGATTTAAGATCTGTGGGTATGTAACAATTGTGCAAGCTCTTCCCACTCTGACACACCTGGACTCTCAAAGGTTGTCTTGGCAAGAATCGAATAAAAGGAGGAATTTTTTTTTTTTAAAAAGCAGGGCTCAGAGCTGTTGTACATTGGGTCGCTATGAGTTGGAAATGATTCAGCAGCACTACCATTTATTAAACCTAACATTTACCTATTTTAAAAAAAAATTATTGATCAATGCTCTTTATTATGTCTCCTCAAACCCTCACTACTTCTTGCTTTCACTTTACCCTACACATCCATCCACTAATCTCTGCTCCCGTCTCCCTCCCTCCCACTCCTGCCCTGATTGTGTGAAAACTTTTCCTAAATTAAGGGTGGGGGTGTTTTTTCTCCCAATCAGTCATTTATCCTTTTTTTTTTTAAAGGTGACTTTGTCCTACAAGGAAAACACATACTATGTTAGAGTAAAATAAGATTTATTAAAAATCTAAACTGGGAAACATCCACAATCACAAAGTAAAACTTGCCTGAGGAGACAAAGAAATCACTGTATCTTATAGGGTGAAAACAGAACTAAAGCTACAGTACTATGACTGGGTGGAAGGGAACTGACAAAGTTAAAACATCTTAAATTGGAACCGACTTACAGGATTTATTCACTCACTCACGGGCATTGAGGTCAACTTAAAATTGACCTTCCACTGGGTCTGAGAGGCTGTAAATCACAGGTTACGATCGTCCATCGTTCTCTAGGGGAGCAGCTGGTAGATTCAAACTTCCAGGGACACACAGCTTTGAATTAACAGTGCAGTTGCTTATGGACCCAGCCTCTGGGGCTCTCCTTTCTGGGATTAGTTCCATTTTGAAAATATGAAGACAGTTTTAAAATTATTGAATATAATTATTTAATTATTGAATATAATTGAAATATAAAATGCAGTGAAAACTGGAGTGGGGGTTTGCCTATAAACATACCCAAATGTACTTTCCCAGAACATATAGAACATTTATATTGTATTTGAACTTTATATATGTGCCCATATGCCTCTTCTCTGTCAATATTCCATCTAAAGTCACCATTATTCTGACTTGTTTCATCATAGATCAGTGTTGTCTTCTTGAATCTTATACAGTATGCACTCTTATGTGTCTGCTTCTTTTACATTTTTTAGCCATGTTTTAGATATCAGAATTTTGACATCTTTTAGTGCTCTGTAGTCGTCCATTCTATGACTGTACAATTATTTACTTATCAATTGTTTGGTTTACAGAAATGTGAGTTGCTTCCAGTTTGCACTAAAGACCAAAGCAGCAATGAACACTGACATAGATCTTTAAATGAGAACAAAGACACAGATCTAGTGTATATCGCTAGGAGTGAATGGGTTGCGTTTTGGGGTAAATATGTATTTTTCATTAGAATTTTCCATTTTCTATAGTGGCTATACTATATTGCACTCCCACAAGCAACACATAAGTCTTATTCCTCAACAACCTCAGTACTTGGTAAGGTCACTTCCTTCAGCACTACCCTTTCCTGTAGGTGTGCATTGGTATTTCATCGAGGTCTAAATTTCCTTGCTAAGTAATGATGTTGAGCCTTTTTCATTGCCCACTTGAATGAACAGGTTGTAAAATCCTAACCTGCTGCTCTTGATCTTATTTATATTTGGGAACAAGTTGTCTTTGTTATGTTGATGAGACAGGATTAAAGTGGAGCTGTATTTTGAGTCAATCTCTATTCAGATCTAGATTTTGAAACAAGCAAGAGAAGTGATGTGTATTGCATTGAAGCAGATGAGGGAGAGAACTGTTCAAATGGGATATATGAATAGGTAGAGTGAAGGTGGCATGGTGGAGTGGACTTGAGGGGAGGGATTACATAGCAATGAAAGAGTTTTTCAAGGAGAGCAGTGAATTGGGGAGAAGGTAGGCAGGGAGAAAAATGCAACAATGAATGACTGGAAACCCCAAGTTTCTTAAAATATTTCATTTAATAAAAAAATGTAAAAAAAAAAGTGGTGGTTAGGAGAGATGGCAAGTCACATGAAGAATATACAGGAAGAGAAAAGCCACGGGCCTTCTCCTCCAGAGTCAACAGGGAGAAAAAGTCTTCCCCGAGAACTGGCACTGTGAATTCAACTTCTAAATTGTGAGGAAATTAATTGTTCTTTGTTAAAGTCATCCTCTTGTGGTATTTCTGTTATAGCAGCACCAGATAATAAGTAAAATACTCCCCAAACTCCACCTCACTTCTGTCGAACTGGAGCTCACTCAAAGCTGACTGGGGTTTCAGGAGATTGCCCATCGTTTTCCAACAGACCTGATGGCATATTTGAACCACCAGAAAGGTGAGATGACACCACTGGAGTTGCCTTAGATAACTCAGACATCCATTAAAAAATGGACTCTTCAGCAGCATAACTTGACTAGTCTCTTTGTTCCTTGAGTGTACTTGACAGTATACATTCAACCCTTAATCTAAGCTACACCAACCTAAGATCTCAATGTAAAAGAAGTCTGCCATAAGGGTAATAATTGGAACAATACTATTATTTAGAATCAGGTAATAGTAAAAATAATCTTTTGAACAGCTGATTTTTATGTCAAACTTTATAAAAATGCAATTAATTTATAAAGTCTCTTTACAAAAGTAATGCACGGTCATTATAGGAAATTTATAAACTTTTAAAAAGGTATTTTTAAGTTACTTTAAGTTAAAACTATTTTCCTATAATTATGAAATTGCACCTTTTGTCTTTGGCTAACAACAAGGGAAAGTAATGTTTTAGGTGTTGACATTGCATTCAGCTGAAGCAAAAAATTTAAAGTGGGAATATTGTCTTCAAATATTTAAATGTCTACAGTGCCTCATGTCAGATTATTGAATTATGTCTCTATCACTTACCTACTAACTTACCTGCCTACCTTATCTTCCATTCATCTACCCATTCACTGAACCATCCTCACATCCATTAGATGATGCACATGGCATGTACAAATCTATTTATGCATAGTGAGCACAAAAGGAGCGAAATTAAGGCAAACGGTAGAGAAGTATCAGCTCAAACTATTAAGCAATGATATGAACTGAACTAAACACTTCATTATATGAATTTCAGTTAATCCTCAGAACAATATTACAAGGGATCCTCACTTTCCCCAAGTTCCTGGGTGAGGAAAGCAAGACTCAGTGCAGTTAATTATTTCTAGAAGTCCAGAACTAGTGAGGAATGAAGTTGGGACCATGTCCTTCTGACTTCAGAGCTCTAGTTCTGTTCTCTACCTTGTAGTTGTTAGGTCCCATCAAGCTGAAATGACTCATAGCTGACCCTTAGGTGGGTTTTCAGAGGCTGTAACCACATGGAAGGAGATTACACATTTTTCCCTTGAACAGCTGGTGGATTCAAACCACATGCCTGTGAGGTTGGCAGCACTTCTTACCACCAGGCCATTACAGTGTCCTATGTTCTCTAAACAGAAACACATTATTCTTGGAGGAAAATGATTAACACAAGACAAATCACTTGTCTTAGGAACTCATTGGTAAATTACATGTTTAGTAACTCAAAGCAGCAGGTTTTCTTTTAATGCCTTGGTCACTACTATGGCAGGCCCTGAAAAGAATATATAAAAAGATCCTCTTGATAACTTTGAGGATACATAGTATGTTTGATACAATTAAGTGTACAACATTAAATAGTTAAGATTGTTAATGTTACATCTAGAAATCACTGGTGCTGTAGGCGAATTGGTATGAAGGCCTGTGTCAGAGGACAATGAAGTTCATTTTAGGGTGAGTTCATAGCAACAAGGATCTTGAAAGAAAAGAAGTAAAACTGAAGTTAATAAGCCTTTAGAGGCTTTTTCATATGGTATGAGATGTTTAAGAACGTTTTTCTAAGCTAAATACTCAGGGTATGATTGAGTAAAATGTGAGAGATGAAGTCATGAAGAGGTAGCTGATGAATGGAGGAGGAGAAACAGGGGCCTTGATTACTGCTGCTGAGACCTAGAAACAAGCTATGCATTATAAGGATTAAAACTCTGCATTTTAGTACAACTTTGATCATAATAAAAGTTCATAAAAGAAACCAGGAATATAAAAATTTATATAGCTGCCAGCATGGTTCCCAGTAATTTGGAAATTATATTCATATTGTATCTATCTAATTTATATGGTTTTCAGGAAATAGATTTGATCTTGGTATAAGAAAGTTGCTGACCTATGTGAAAATTCACTTTTATTATTTCTGAAATAACTCGTTCTCTAGGGGGAAGAACAAGGCAAGTGTGTGTGTCACATTTTGGTGGAAGTTCTGTAATACAAGTGACAACTGCGAAGCACTTATGATGGGCAGTAAACGAAACACTTTGTTACATGTATCCAAAGTGATTTACACCTGTGCTATGAAAAGTGCAGATGCTTCAGATCAACTTTAGTATAGAAAATACACTTTTCCTAGATTATTAGGCTCTTCCTTATAAGTAATTACACAAAATAATAACAAAGTTAATAATCTATTATAGATTGAAGTCCTGAAATTTCTTCTTTGCAATTCTTTTAGGGAACTGTATTATAAGGAAATATTCCTCATACAGTACACACTCAGTAGGTGGGTTTTTTAAATAATTGAATTAGAGTGTACAGGTCAATAATCATAGTTCATCTGGCAACTGATCCAGACCAGAGCAAAAAGGAAAAAAAAAGGCTTATACAATGCATGGGAAACGATTTATAACAATCTTCCTTTTAGAGATATGGCTTGGTTAAACTCATGGGTCTGTGGTTCCGAGAGGTCATAGAAAACTTGGCTTTTGTCAAAGTGGTCTCTAACATAAAGTAAATCTTCCACAGAATAGTTATCATCTTTTCCAGTCCAAAGAGTCAGGCTGTACCTGCATGAAAATAAGGCGGAATGAAATAGTTAAAAGGGAAGGATATGAAACGATGATGAGTAATCCCATTAAGCCTAAAGATAGTTGCTCTCACTTATCTCTAACCCATATGCACACAGATGAAAAAATTAATTAGCTCTGGAGGAACTGCAGCTTCCTGTTTGGTTCTTTCATCAACACTGAGCATCAAATGGAACTAGAGGGGGGAAATTTTCCCATTCCAAATATCTAAAATTAGGTAACTGCAGTATTTGATGCTATAATGTTTGAAGAATACTAAGAGGTTTTAAAAACAGCCTGGGGGTACTGGAAAGGGGTCCAATTTTCAGAACAAACTGAGGAAGATTACACTGTGGATCAAGGAACCTGTCCCCCACACCAACTATCGCTCAAAACTGGTTTCTTCAGTCAAAAGGGACTGATGCTGAGACTGTGGGGTGACTCAAATGTGCCAGAGCCCCAAACACTCAGGCTCCTGTTATCCATAGGGGGAGTTTTGTACATGAGAGAAGAATGACAACACCAGGGGTGTGAAGTAGAAGGAATCTCTTTAAATGCATTTCTGAAGAACTGAACACTATAATAATATCTGTAGATTTATTATGGATGCCAGAATATGCTCAGAATTTTAATGCTGTATATTTTCATGTCTTCCATTAGGACCCAGGGAAATGTAAAGCTGTAGAGTAGTTTTGTCTTCCCTCCACCTACCCAGTAACTGTTAGACTCCATGGGAAAACCATGAAATCATTTTTAAAAACTAATTAAGAGAAAAATGTTTATGTTCTTCTAGTTACAGGTACACACTCCTGTTCTTCGAGATGCACCATTCCAGAAGCATGCTCTGTTGTTGCTATTCACCCTCAAGTTGGAATCATCTCATAACTGACCCTCCAGTGGGTGTTCAGAGGCAATAACACACACAGGAAGAAAATTACTCATTTTTCTCCCTCAGAGCAGCTGGTGGATTTGAACTGCCTGGTGTCGGGTTGACAGAACAACTCCTTACCACTAAGCCACCAGAGCATTATATGGAAGGAAAGTAATTTGGATTTTGTCCTTCACAATCCCACAAAGTAACTCTTTTAATCTGCTACTGAGAATACAGAAAAGGAAAAATGGAAATTGGTTTTGAAACCTTTATTTTTTTGCTAAATTGGCATCTTCATTACTTTATCTGTGCACCATGGAAACAAACCTTATAAAAACACTGATATGCACATTTAGGTTAAAAGAAGAGTTTTCTAGTGCTATTTTGCGGCTTTTAATACTCTATCAATTGTATTTAAAGTTAAATGGGAAAAGAGAAATTGCCTAAGGTTATCTTAAATTGTATTCAAACAAATTCTCTTTCTTTATTTAAATTTTCTTATTGTGAAATAACATAGATAAAAAATGCATAAAACATAAATGTTCATTTTAATGAACTACACCAAAGGTGGATGATTTTAATCTGTGGACCTCTGGTATGGTTTTAGTTGTTTTTGGTCAAACATTCTTCTAGGTGGTATAGCACTGGCCTGTCCACTTGCTGTACAGAGGTAACTCGTGGTTGCTGTGATGCTAAACACCATGACACTGATGTGTCAAATGTGATAATGATTGCTCATGGTGGACAGTGTTTGGTGGAGCTCCTCAATTAAAACAAGCTTGTGTGTGTGGGGGGGAATTGTGTACCAATGAGGGAGTTTTTCTTTTGCGTTTCAAGGAGAGGAGCAAATGGGGGGGAGGGGGGA